CCGAGAAACGCTCAGAACACTTTACTTGAAAAATTTACCAGGAAAAATGCACAAACGCTGTATCGATATCTATACTCTCCCACTCGCTCAAAACCTGTCGTAGGCTCGAAACGCTTAAAACGAGGCTAATGCCGTTTGGACTCCAGAAATTTCGTCTTCGAGCTCATTTTCAAATTGCCTAAGTCACCAAATCCACTAAAAACTTGTATATAGGGGTAATTCAACATCCTGATTACGAGTATGACACTCATTCTTGGCGCTGGCGCCAAGAGAGGACACTACGATTACCTCCTGGGCTCAGCCTTAGCAGAGCGCAGGTAACCGTAGTGTCATCCATTAGCGCCAGCGCCAAAAATGTCATATTCGTGATCAGGATGTTGAATTACCCCTATATACAAGTTTTTAGCGGATTTGGTGATCTTGCCACTTTTAAAATGAGCTCGAAGACGAAATTTCTGGAGTCCAAACGGCATTAGCCTAAAACGCTGACGCAAGCCATAGCCTGCCTGCCTAGGGTGTGACATTTTCCCACGGCTCAGCATCCTTGTGATAATTTTGGAGAGCAAACTGTGGCTTAAACGGCAGTTATCGTACTGAAACAACTTTCGATTAGGCTCAACTATCTTTTTTAGGCATCTCGTTCTGCTGATGATCATGGAGAAAGTAAAGTGAAGAAGATGTTGGATTTCGATCAATGATGGCCTCTATTTATGATTTAATTTTGCTGTAAATACTTTTTACTCCCTATATATCTGCATGATGTATGTGATTTTTTTGTTTTCTAGTATGTATCACTTTGTAATTTTCTCGGAAACGTGTTTTTTTGCCCTTCGTATATGCTCACATAATTTTTTTTCACTTGAATGCGTTCCATTTTCACTTATATGTGTTTCTTTTACGAGAGGAAATTCTTTTGCACTGTAGACAGGCGCAGTTCGACTTGGTGGGGGCAATTAGTGCTTGTCAGCAAAACTTGTTAAGGCTACCTTGTTGAGGCCTGTAGACTCCTGTAACCAAAGTCGTGTGCCACTTTGTAACTTCACAGGATTTAGTGTTTACAGGATTCACCTGTTAATTTACCTAGATCTGCAAAAAGAACTAGCGAAAAAGCAGAAAGCTCCTCCCAAGCCGAACAGCAAAAAAAAACTGTATCTCTGTTAGGATCATTACTTGAAATAAGCGCTTATTTGCGATACTCCTGCATTTATTCTGAAATGCTGGTCAAGCTGCACGCTTGGTCCAAGCCCTCGAAGCTCCCGACGCCGGGAGAGGGGCAAGAGAATCGTAATTCGCCGCTCAGCCGCGCGCGGCGATGGGCGCGGCGTTTTCTTAACTCGTGTTAACCTGTCGATTGGAGCACCGGACTTCATGTAGACCCCGTCATCGTAGACATTCATGACTATTTTCGGTTCTGAATTGCCTGTTGTCGCCATCTACTACCTGAAACCATCGTCATTTGCGGGCGCGACGTCGCACGCGACGCCCACTAGCGCAGCGAATAACGATTCTCTTGTCACGTACCCCCGACGCCGGCGATCGCGCTATAAACCGGCGCTCATTCTTGCAACTGCGGGCCTAGTTCATCGCATCCGAGCTGCGGCGGGAACGGTTGAAGAGGCGTCAGCGTTAGTGTCATGTGCGCTTCATTCGCACCAGCATTAGAACAAAGACTCAGTGACACCTCAGGTCGCTAGGTCTGTGGGCGTCTAATACTTAATGGTTGCGCAATTTCTCCTGTTGCAGAATATGAACGTTGCCTTAGCGATGTGATCCTGCCATTCCTTTCTCTGCTCTTTCTCACATGAATGTTCACTTGAAATGCAAATTGATACCAGCTGTACTAATGGTCTCATAGCGAATAATTTACTGCCCTAGCTATCTGCACATTAAGTCGCCATCCTCTACTTATAACTTGTAACATGAACGAATAAATTCTGTAAAGATATAATCTTTAATTGTTGATACCAGCCAGCTTAGCTTTACTTGTCTCCAAGTAATACCGTAAAATCTGTGAAAATGTTTCAAAAATATTCTCATTCTTGAAGAGATCTCTGCCGCTAAAGTTGCAGGGGGGGAGAGAGGTTCAAGCGAGCGGCGCGCGAATTCGCGAGAATGTCCCGCTGCTGTGCCCGCGAGTCGAATGACGGGCGGTCGAATCCTAATCGTAGGCATACTTCTGAGGCCGGGGCACGTTGTACGTTTGAGTCCTCATCGGGGGAGGGGATCATATTTTCTCGCTGAGGGAAGTCGTATCACATTGTGGCAAAAGGTTCGTGTTGTTGACTTTTGCGTATCCTTAGGTATTCAGAAAATAAACTAGGACGGCGAAGGAGGCCGTACAGAGGAATTTTCGTGGGGGGTAAGCCGCTGACAATTTCCCCAACGGCAAGCTGCCCCTGCCTCGGTCTGAGGCCCCTGGTGGAGGATCGCTCGTGCCTCCGCTAAGCCGTCGATCTCCGTCATGCCGGACTGACCTGCTTCTCGAATGAAGCCAACCTCGGAAGAGTAAACAAACTCTGTTAGAGACACTCAGAGCTTATTTAATCAGTGACGGCGACGTTTCAATGGCCACCATCAAGAAGAAAACCACCAGTTCATGTCCGTTTGGTGAAGGATTCTACAGTAAGATAACGAAGCTGTTGCTATCCAAGGAACCGAACGCAGTAAAGGAGTTGAAGGAATGCGTAAAAATAGTAGGTTTTCTTGGAGAAATCCATTATTTGTTGTTGTTTCTATTATTTACCTCCTACTCACTGCACAGGCGGACCTGGTGTAGTAGCAAATAGCTCGCTTACCACCACGACTTTGCGATGGTCAAATCCCGGATCGGTTCCCGCTGAGGCCAAGCAAGCCTTCTATCCTCCGGGACGGTAAATTGGTACCATCATGCATCTGGGAGGATAAAGATAACTTGTTTTGACATCGGCTCAACTCCCTAAGTAACATAAGGCCAGATCGGAACTCGAATGAGCCACTGGGCATCTGAATGAAGTGCGAAGTCGGTCGCATCCCAGAGAGGATTGATCAATGGCGAAGACTTTATCTTTTTATTCATTCCATACTCTGGCCATAGGGGTCCCAGTAGGCTTTCAAAGCACCTGAGTCAGAGCTTCAATGGTTGAAGGGTTTAGAACGGGAGCTGATGACATCGGAGGGATATCGGAACAGAATAATCGTGCACGAAGCTATTTCACTCACTCTGTAGCTCTTTCTGCCTCCAAGCTCAGGAAGAAGTCCTCATCTCAATCGCAGTCTAGTTTCGCAGGGGTCCCTTAAATGGTCGCCAAGGTCATAAAGAGTAAACGATAAAGTAATCACCGCTGATCAACCCTTTTTTGGATGCGGCACGCATTTTACTTCCGTTCATGATCGCAAAAGCTTATTGAGTGTGATGTAGCCCTTACAATGAATTGTGGCGCCAGCCGATGCAGAAGTCAGCGTTTTTATCCTCGCAATCGGATCTGGTAACAATTTACCATTGCCGGCGAGTAGAAGTCTTGGTCGGCCTGGGCGGGAGCCGATCCGAGAACCGATCCCAGACGTGGTTCTGTACTTTTGCAATTTGCAGTTTCTCCTAATAATGGCTGTTGAGGTAAGCGCTGCCAAGCTGACGCCGTCGGATGAGTTCTGGGACAGTGGAGACGAGATATCCAGTGTTGATTCGTCATCGTCATCATTGTCCTCATCAGCATCAGCGTCAGAATTACGAGGTATTCAAATCAAGAAAGCTGCAGTGGAACGGCCCCGTATCATCCATTTGGATATGGTGCCATCTGCTGAGAAACGTGGCCCAGCAAAGGCGAAGGTGCGATCTGATCACTGTTTGAACTATTTGGATCAAAATTCGACTTTTTTTACATATGTATCCTCCTTTGAAGGTCGATCCACCCCCAGTACCAGAGAAAAAACGGAAAGGACCGATAGTATTACTCGGTGCTCGTCGCTCAGACGACTCTGACTCGGATGATGCAAAGACAGCTGAAAAGGTGATTCCGTATAGAATATTGGGCCCTATTCAACTATTACTACCCCAATTTTCGAAAACAGGCCGGATCTTGACCGATTTTTTCTACGGGGGCAGATTTGGCTGAAAGTTGGGTTTGGGGGTAATTCGACGAATATCACACCAACTTGGCCTGAAAGTGCCTGGCGCCGCGCCACAGGCGCCGGCGCCAAAAACCCTAAATCACCGAATTCGCTGAAAACTTGTCCCCAGGGTAGTTTGACCTCCTGAACACGAATATCACATCCGCTCCGCCCGAAACTGCCTGGCGCCCGCGCCACAGGCGCCGGCGCCAAGGTACCCTAGTCACCAAATCCGCTGAAAACTTGTATACGGAGGTTATTTGACATCTTGATTACAAATATCACATTCATTTTTGGCGCTGGCGCTGATGGAAGACGCTGCGATCATCTGCGCTCTGCTAAGGCTGAGCCTGACCTGAAGGAAATCACTCTTTCTCCCAGGCTCAGCCTTAGAAAAGCGCTAAATGGTCAT